GCACTATATGTTCAACATACCCAGACAGCATATAACGCTGAAAGATATCTTCCCACATAGAAATTGACATCCAGTGGATGTCCATTAAACGGCCATAGCTCCATAGGACATCTATCTCCATGATGGAAGTTAGATAGACGTCCATTAGAGATCCATCCCGCTAAACAATATTCTGTTGCAAAAACGTTTTTGTAACATTGCAATATAGCCGTGCGACGTTTTACGTTTGGTTGTATTAACCTTTTGGTAACATTTCAGGAACCAGAAATGTCCCGATTCAATTACCTTACATATGCGACGTCGAACTTGCAACGTGTTTTAGGCGTTTGAAAAACCTTATACCCAGACAGCACATGGATGTCCTCTGGAAATCCAAAGGACATCCAGTATGGACAAAATGGATATCCTGTGGACATCCTATTTCAATCCCAGGATATCTTCCGGATGTCTTGAGGAAGGGCAAATGATCGCTCATTTTTAGTCCCTGAATCATCCCAAGGATATTATGTAGGACATCCCAAGGATATTGTATAGGACATTACAAGGACTTTTATAGGACATAAAAATAATGTTTTTAAATTGTTATTTCTCAGAAAAATAATGTTTTATTACGTTCATATTTATAATTAGATTTATATTAAATCACAGAAGCTTTATTTTTATTATAATTATATCACAAAAGTTATAACTAGTTATAAACTTTTAAATAAAAATTATATTTATATAGATATATATGTTAATTTGAACATTCAGAACGTCAAAGTAATTACTAAAATAATACTAAAATAGTAATAATTTTAAAAAATGCTACATGAAAGATAAACTTAATAAAAGAAAGTAATAACATTAAATTATTAATGTAATGAGACTACAAAATAATAACATAAAATACATTGCAATTTATAGTTTGTACGTGAAACATTGCACTCGTTAATTTTCGCAAAACAAAACTATTAAAAATAAAATAATTATAAATAAGTATATACATTTCATGTTCCAGCTCTATATATGTAGCAATTAAATAAAAGCTTTGGAAAAATTAAAAACTAAAAAAATTAAAAATTAAAAAAGTATGTACAGTTGTTTCATTCATTAATAATTAAAAAAAAATCATAAATCTGGCTTAAGAAATTATAGGTACTTCTTATAGTATAAAGAATAAATTTTATTCTTTATTTTCCACTCCAGGGTTAGTTCTAGTTTCTTTGCTGCAAATAAAAATAAATTTATTACATCATATATATATATATGCGTATATATAAAATATATATGTAAATATATATATGTATATATATTCGCGTTTCGAAATATTTTAAAACTTACTCGATTTTCTTTACATGACGTTCGTTTGCATGTCGCAACCATGATTTTATTGGTTCAGCAATATAATGATCTGTTGTTTCTCATCGTATCAAGTCTCATCGAATAAATACTTCATACGATGAGAAATACTTTTTAACCTTTTTTATCTTAATACAAAAGAATATATATATATATATATATACATATATCTAATAAAGATTACATTATTTACATAAAAATATATTTATATATAACTTACGTGTATCATCGAAATCAGCTTATGTCCAAAAACCTTCAAACTGATGTTTCGCAAGAATAAAAAACTGGTGTTAACGTATCCACCTAAAACAATGTAGAAAGAATTGCATTAAGTAATTATGATTATTTCTTAACAAACACAAAGTAAGAACAACATATATGACAATAATTTATTATAATTTTCCATTCAAACTATAACATAAAATATGCCTTGTAACAATTACATTGAATAAGAAATGTTATGTTATTCTTTGTGTTTGCTTAATTAGAAGTTTGGATAGTTCTAAAAACATTTATTAATTAAAATTTATTCATTAATAATTGCTAAACGCTGATTTTTAACAACAGCAAGCAATGAATATAACCTAATCTAACCTAATGTTTCTACAATTATTCTGTAAAAAAATATCATGTATTATATGTTTGTATATTGTTCATCTCAAAGAATAATTTGAAAAACAAATAATTAATTAATTTGCTAAAAAAATTACACTTACCTATATTCTTCCACTTATTGTAAAAAGATTTCAAGCTCCTGAAATAACCGGCAATACTGATCACAGTAATCACTATGGCACGCTTATGGAGGATAGATCGGGAAACATTCCACCGATACTATCCCACGTGACGATCTTAGCAGACATGTGATACGCTATTGAGGCCTGTTGCGCTGGCTTGCGCTACTGCACATGTGCAAGCTCACAATCTTTTCTCACGATTTTTGATTTTTGCTCTGCTACATTAGTGATGTACACTGCGCGTCAACGATTCGCAGGGTTGTGCAATGGCCCTAACTTATTGGCTATGTATTAATACATTAGGTTGATAAGTTAGGACTACTGCATGACCCTGCGAATCATTGACGCGCAGTGTACTATATCCAGATGAGACTCGGAGTCGGAGTCTCATCTGTTGTGAGAAAAAAGATTATATATAGTACAATTTTTTAATTACATATATATATTTATTTTATCAATTAATCGCCAAACGTAGGATATCCTCCAGACATCCAAAGGACATCCAATATAATATACAAGGACAGATATCCTACAGATATCCAGTGGTTATCCAATGAACATTTATGAAACATTTATACTTTAAATTATATTAAATATTTTGTATAACTGACAGTATCATGCATGCATATTAAGTTTTCATAAAATATATTTATAATGATATCTTAAAATGTCCTGTAAATGTCCTGAGCCGTCCTGGATATATTCAGGATGATCCTGAGGATGTCTGGTGCTGTCTGGGTATGTGCGACGTCGCATTTACAACGTTTTTTGCGCCGTTTGTAAAACTTGCATGAAACGTTAGGGAAACGTTACAAACTTTCATTCCAAAAACAATGTTTATACAACGTTTTTTATACAACGTTCCAGGAATTTATTTTCCGCTTTATGGTTAATTTGCAACGTTTTTGTAACGAATGTATAAGGCACAGTCTACAATGAGTCATTAATCGTTAATTTGCAAATGCCATCTCTTATGACTTACGACTTAGGACACTCGAGTGCATAAGAGATGGCATTTGCAAATTAACGATTAATGACTCATTGTAGACTAGGCTTTATACATTCGTTACATGCGTAATAATACGATCAGTGAAAAACAAAAATTATTCGCATATTAATTACATTTATTTTCATATACATACAACAATATTTTGTGATAAAATTAAAAAAATACAAAACATCAATTATATAAGATATATTATATATTTATAACATGTATTTTTAAAATATTTCTAATATTTATAACATAAATATTATTATTTTAATATTGCACTATTAGTGCATTTGCAGGATCGGCTGAACGCCATATATGAGTTCATGTACATTTCTTTAAAACTGAATTATCCGATCTGATTTCTAAGTGCTTTTGCCTAAGACAAGAAAAAAGACACAAAATCAATTCAGCTGTATAAAAATAGTAATTCATTTAAGTAGAATGAAAAAAGTACCTGCTCTCTATCATGACGTGTTTTGGCATATTTAAACCAGGCGGAAACATGATTTAAAAATTGTCTATCCGTTAACATCGGATAATGCTTTCGAGCAGCCTCTATAAAACGCAAGAAAAAATTAAAGTTTAATAAATTGATTTATATAATTTTGTTTCAAGTTAGGTCAATGCAGAAAGTCTTACTTTTTATGATATCTATTAGCAGAAGTGAATTTATGGCAAAGTTTCCTTTCTGGCCTTTCCATGAACATTTCATAGCCAATTTATTGGAAAACATTTTTTCCAAGCTATGTTTTATTTGATCCTGAGGTGAGTCTCCTCCAAGCAAATAGAAAAATGTTTCCTGAAGCATATAATTATTACAATTATAACGACATATTACATTTTTCATATATGAATAATGTCGAAACATTACATATTTCAATATACATACTTTCGAGAGATTAATATGTAATAGAAAATTGTAAATAATTTTACTGTACATATATCAGTATATATGTACAGTAAAATTAAGTTAAAATATTCAATTATGTTAAAAGTATTTTCGGCCGCACAATTCTCTGAGTATCGACATCATACAAGCTATTTACATTTTTTCAATCTTTTTTAATTTACATGTCTAATTGAATATACGATGCAATTATATTTTAATTGTATAAATAAGTAAGTGGGGAATGTACACTATCCGTCAATGATTCGTTCCCATTCCTGCTAGGAAATAAAGACGACGCTATAGATAAACTATAAAAAATCTATAGCGCCGTCTCTATTTCCTAGGGGGGCGAATCATTGACGGGTAGTGTATATACTATTACCAGTTGTTTTTTTCCATCTTCATCATTCTTCAATGAAGTGTCATACTGCAGCAATTTTCGATGCTTTTTAAATGGTTTTGTAGGGATAGTCAAAAAATTATTATATCTTGCACCTGCTGCTGCAAATATTACTGATTCGTCGTTTTTTTGTTTTAATTGCTCAACAAATTCATTTTGTTGTCTTAATAGCTTTTTAATCTCTATCGTGTTCTCTAAAATCTTAATTATATTCTGGCTATCTGTAAAATTACAATTAAATATTATTACATACCTTATTGTTATTATTGTTGCTGTTGTATTGTGTAGTTGTTTAAGTAATAAAATAACAATAAATATATATATTGATACCTGATGGAAAATCTTCAAAGATTACGTTTCCTGCGAATAAGTTATTTCTTATCGGAATTGGAGATGCGTTTCCAGCAATATTTTGCGGACCTAAATCTGTTGAATTAAAATATTTTATGTTATAAAAATATAACTTCGGAAAGTAAATCTTGATATATTAAAATAGTATTTGTTATTTATCGTAGATATACTACGACCAATAAATACGTGTATGTGAATGTTAAATATACATATATATACGTTTACATACCCTCCGTTGGGTAGGTTTCAAGATCTACAGTATTGTTTATATTATTGTTACGATTCATAACCCCTATATCATCCGTTTGATCTATCTGATTTTCTTTATTATCGTTATTGTTTGAGTCTAAATAAATATGAAATTAATAAGTACTCAGGACAAAACATTAACATTTCTATTTATAAACATTAAAAAAATACTAACCTATATCACCTATTACTATTTATTTTTTTATTGACGGTTGGAAAAATGTTGTCAATATCTGCTGGCAGATTTCTTGTAGTCTGTAGAACTTCACTTGATTGTCTACGTTCGATTGCAGGATCTGAAAGATAAATATTTAGCAAAAAGACTCATCTAATCGTTGCAAAAATATTCACTTCTGTATTCACTTGTAAGACTGAATAGAGGCTATTTATGTATTACGTAAATGTATTTTTAACCAACACTTAACAAAATTAGAATTACTTGATTACAAAAAATATAATATTTATATTATTTTATTTCATATAGGAATTTATATTATACATTTTTACTTTCTTATTTATATATTTAAAAAATTTAACTTACTATTTTTAAAACCGTAATATGTTACAAGAAATAACAGTGTGTATTAATTCTTATTACTTTTCGCTCAATCATCTCTGCTTATGCAGATCAAAATGGAATGATTGAAACTCGTGATTCGCGAACAATTTTAAAGATCAAATTTCTAAAATTAAGTTACAGGTGTTTAGATAATGTCGATTTTTTTAATTTTTGTTAAATACTTTTATTTTTTAAGTACTTTAAAGTGTCTACAAATTTGTAATGGCTTATGTTTGCATCATTACATAGCCAGAAGTGTTGGAAAAAATTGTGAAGTGAAAATGTATAAAATTGTGCATAGTTAGCCGGAATCGATATTCGTGGTTATAAACGGCATATTTTCATTTTTCTAAATGTTTTCAGTGGTTTAAAAATTCAAAATTGTTTGTGACTATATACAGGGTGTTTCATTTTAATCTAGCCAGGCGAATATTTCCAACGCTGTTGAGTTTAGAGAAAAATGTTTCAAACAAAAGTTGTAGGGTTCGAAGGGGCACATAAGATGATACTATTGGTTTGACTTTGAAGAGTTATTTGAAGATCACATGAAGGTCACTTTCAATTTCTTAAACGGAATCTACATTTTCTTATTACATATTCTTGTAGCTTATCTCGAGAGCTTTCCAAAACACTATAATAACATATTTTTTTATTGAGTACTTTTCAAGTTATGAGGTCTTAAAATCATTTCTTAATTTTACACAAACCATAAAATATCTAGTAAAATATTCATTTTTTGATTATCTTACCTTAATGCTTTCATGTAGAAAATAATGAGAGAAATCAATTGGTGCAAAGAAAACATACAGTTGTTTTTAAGAAAAAATATGTAATTGTTAATTGCAAATTACATATTTTTTCTTAAAAACAACTGTATGTTTTCTTTACACTAATTGATTCCTCTCATTAATTTCTACATAAAAGCATTAAGGTAAGATAATCAAAAAATGAATATTTTACTAGATATTTTATGGTTTATGTAAAATTAAGAAATGATTTCAAGCCTCATAACTCGAAAAGTACTCAATAAAAAAATTTTTTATTATAGTGTTTTGGAAAGCTCTCGAGATAAGCTACAAGAATATGTAATGAGAAAATGTAGGTTCCATTTAAGAAATTGAAAGTGACCTTCATGTGATCTTCAAATAACTCTTCAAAGTCAAACCAATGGTACCATCTTATGTCCCCCTTCGAACCCTATAACTTTTGTCTGAAACATTTTTCTCTAAACTCAACAGCGTTGAAAATATTCGCCTGGCTAGATTAAAATGAACCACCCTGTATTATGGCATGGTAAAGTGTGTCTATATAATAAAATGTGCAAATAAAAAATATGAAAAATCCTGACTGTATCCCTTGGGAGCGTCCGAAATGGCCACGGGTAAATTTGACCACGTTCGAAATGGCCACGTTCGAAACGGCCACGCGTTCGAAACGGCCATACAACTTTTCACGCGAAGCGAGGGGGACGGGGTGGGTGCGGGAGGGGTGCCGAAGGCCCCCCTTGCACCCCCCCCCGTGTGTGTGTGTGTGTGTGTGTGTGTGTGTGTGTGTGTGTGTGTGAGTGCGTGTGTAAGGGGATAGTGCTTCCAACATTCCGTGGCCGTTTCGAACGTGGCCATTTCGAACGTGGTCAAATTTACCCGTGGCCATTTCGAACGTGGTCAAATTATATCCACTCGTATCCCTTTACAAATTAAAATTAAATTCCTGAATTCAGTTCTATTGGTAACGTAATGCACTGCTTAATTTAGTTCTATTAATAATGCACTACTAACGTACCAAATACGGTAGACAGCATCGGAGGTGGTGTCATTCTATGATTTTGGGAATTATCGCTGAAGTCGCTTGTGTAATCATTTTGGCTCTTCTTTTTTACTCTCCTTTTGCTTCGGCCAGTTTCTGGCACTGACGTATCTGTATCAGTTTTTGTTTTTCTTTTTGCGAAATCTACGGCAGTCTGATATTCATCTGTCAATCAAAATTATTCATATATATATATATATATATATATATATATATATATATATATGTATATACATATCGTTACATATATTTACAAGTATTTTGAAATAAAAATAGTAATATTAATTACAATAAAGATTACCAGTTTGGAAAAAGATGTTTCTTATATTCCAAGTTTTCCAAGAACTTAATGGGGCTGTTCGTTTGTTGATTGCCCTGCGGATGTTTTTCCCAGGCCATTTGCATGTAATTTCGTTGTTTAAAATTGTTACCCATGTTGTCGGGACGACTTCTACTGCAGTCGATTCTTCGAAATTCTCCGCAAATTCGACTACAGACCAAATAAACTGAAATAGCACAAATTTTATTTGTAATAAAAATAAATAAAAATATCAGAATAAGTAAATGCAAAATGTGAAAGTACCTTCTTATTGTATACCATATAATTATCCCAGACAGCACAGGACATCCTATGGACATTCATTTTATATCCATTTTACGTCCGTACGTCCATGGACATGAAATGACTGTTCATCGTACATCCGATTCGGGACATCCGTTAACGGCCAATATTTGGACGTCCACAAAATGTCCGATCTTGGACATCAAAGTTTCGCGCGAGGACGCAAGGATGTGTTAGTTCGTTCGTTTACCGCTATGCGACGTGCGATGCGCTATCTTTCTCGTATTTAAGTTTTAGTTATAAGAATTATATAAAGTTTGCAAAGAGTAACAAATAAGATTAAAAATATACTGTTCAATTTAATTTGTGATCTCAATACAAGAGTTTCAGATATTAAATTGATTTTATAAGTCGTACAAGTAAATGTCCGGCAAATAAACGAAAATAATCCGGTACTTATTTAAACTTGCTTGTTGCACTTTACATTTTAAATTACCTATTTAAAATGTAGAGTGCAATAAGCAAGTATAAATATAAATAAAATTTTTACATGAATTTTATGTAAAGTTTTATATGAAATAGATAAATTATACTATTTTATTATATTATTTAATTTTGTTGGGCCAAAGAATTTTTTATGTTTTAAATGTTATGAAGGATACATAATGCTATTTATTTATGTATAATAAAGAACAATTTTTTATATATGATTAAATTAGGTCAAAATCCATACATAATTATATCTACACAATTATACATAATTAAATATAAATTTTTTTCTGAGTTTATGAATTTTTGATATTTATTCCAATAATAATTTGAAAGAGTAAGACACTGAAAATGATGTCCATTTTAAGTCCTTTTTTGGATTGTTTTTTGGACATCCGAAGTAGTGAATAACCGACGTCTTATGGATGTCCAATGGATATCCGTCGGACTTAATTCAGACATCTTATGGACGTCCACATGTCCAAACTCGAATGTCCATTGGACGTCCATAGGAGTTCCATGTGCTATCTGGGATATTAACTCAATTTTATATTAAAATTTATATTTAAATTCAAAGTATAATTTATTTACTGGTTTTATATTGATGTATTATATATTAATTAAAATTAAATGGCAGAGATTCTTTGTGTAATTATTAATTAATTATTAAATATTATTATTAATTACTGTTATTAAATATTACTACTATTAAATATTTGTTATTATTGTGTATGAATTAATGGCATAATTATAAACTTATTTTCGTGCGGAAATTTTACACATTTTGCTTGAATTTCGTTAATATTAACAGTATACGTATCTTCAGAAATATTTTGCACCTGTTCTACATTAAATAGTTCAGAAGAACAGGGTGACTTAAAAAACGTTGTTGATTCTGTAAACTTTCTTCCCGTTATGAACATTTCCAGTGTGTTAGTGTTTTGGAAAATACCGTCTACGCATAGTACAGCCTTGTCTCTAAGCATGACGCAATTTTCTTTATTTTCTGTGCTGAATTCATACTTTCCAATATCCACTTTTTTGTAGAATATACATCTTTCCTTATCAATAATTTGCACTTTACTTTGTTGATGTAAAATCGGATAAGTCTTGTCGTCCTGTTTCTTTTTCTGCTCTTCTTCCTTTAGTCTGTTACAAGTTTGTTGTAAGGAGTGTTTTGTTGTTTTAATTTTTCGTTTTATTTCGTACAGAAAATTTTCATATTTGAAACAACTAAATGTATCAAGTGGACCGTGCAACAAGCAGTCTGCAGGTAAATGAATGAGGCCGTGTACGTTGTGATTGATGAACTCAGGACCATAAAGAACTGAATATTTTTGAACAAAATACTGAATAAGTTGCAAAGCATAATCATTATAAACTGAATATAATGCAGGACTACATAAAATGCGAATAGCGCATGATAATGTCATAAAATGTGTATACATGTTCTTGTTTCTCATATTTTGTAAAACGATCGGTCCAATGTACAACAACAATTGTCTTAGTTCAGCAGCTTTAAAGTACTCTATGTCATCTAAACTTCTTGGTAAGCGGCCAAAATCTTTAGGTACATAATTCTTTAAAAATAATATTTGATCGTTAATGGCTTTTTTCTCATCGTCAGTGAAGCGAATGTTTTTTGGTCCTCGTACCCAAAACGTTATCAGTTTTTTCATTACACCGAGAAATACCAGATGCATACCATCAAGGGGTATTTGCGAAACTAACCCGATGTTAATATTTTCAAGAGGAGTTGTACCTTTATGAAATTCATCATCTAATTTGTTTTTAAAACTTGCATCAGTTCGTAAGTCTACATTGATATCTGGGAAAGCTAGTCGGTTATTAATAAAGGTACCACTTTGAGTACATTTTGTGCAACTGTAAAATCCCGTGTGACCTTTCGTACATAAAACGAATGATTTAGCAGGAGCATCGCAAAGTAATTTACTGGCCTTTATTTTAACAGTTTTATTGCATATGTTAAATCCATTATCTTGCAAATGTTTAAATTCTGTAATAAATTCACTTAAAAATTGATTAACATCAGCTGGTTTTGTGTGCCCGTGGTAAATTCCAGCTACAAAAGGTTTTGACGCATTTTGACTAACTGAATCTACATCTAGAGAAATCAAAATTGGCCAAAATTGACTTTTTGAACTGTTTGAAATAGGTAATCCGTCTATGTTTATACTAATGGGTAACACTGGTTCTGAATTTTGAAATAAGAAATTGTGCATATTAATACTGTCATTGATGAGTCTACGAATTGTATTCTCTATACCGATGTGACAGTAGAAACCGGGGGGCATATTAATTATTTCATAGGGGCACGAATTTGGTGTTTTTAAAAGAATACGCGAGTCTGCAGGAAACTTTGGATATGGCACTCGTAAAATTTGCAACATATCGTTAATGGCCCGTTGGCTTAATAAATGTCTATATTTCAGAACCCATTGTTTAGTGGCATCAAGTGCAAACTCTTCAGTCACAGATGAAACTTTATCGTCAAATCCTATGTTACATTTATGTAATTGAAAATCATCATCGACGAGCGTTTCAATATATCTTATAGATTCTTCCTCATCTATTTCTGTTGGAAATGCTGCAGTACACTGATTTTCGGTATGTGCAAATTGTTCAATATTTATTTCATTTTTATTTCCTTTTTGCATTGCTGACTGGAATGCAGTTTTAGTTTGTGATTTATCATTTATTTTAATTAATTTGTGATTTACCAACAAAGTTTCTAATAATTCTTTTCTGACTATTCGACGCATATGTCTTTTGGACACAAAACATTTATTTATTTTTCCCATATTTTTTTCTACTAATTCGCTCGCGCGAGTGTGCACTTGGAACAATAAGTTTTCTAAAACGTTAAATATTAATTATTTTTTAGGTTAGTATAGGTTATAAATAAGTTTGTTACTTACCTTATGTAGCTGATGCTGATTCCCCTCAGCAACAGGAGTCTGAGTGTGCGATGTCATAGATCTTTTTTGTAAGAAATATACGCTTATCCGGGCGTTAATTATGCAGGAAGCGTCCTTGCGGGAGGGCAATATAATGTCAGAATTATTGCGTTTTTGACGACCGAATCCAACCCAGGTTAGCCAGGTTTTGAATTCGATCACGTCGAAAACGCTATTATATACTTGAAAACTTTATTAATGCACAAACCAACCGGCACACAATTAATTATACGAGAAGATTGTAACACAACACGTTTGCACACTACGCAGTAAGTCCCCCCGACTGCTCGATACACGCGCCTTGTCGCAACTCAAGCGATCAATCATAACGCGCGAAACAAGAAAGCAAAACGGTGAGTGGCAACCGCTTGTAGCGCGCGACATTTGCCGCGTTCATCAGTATGTCCTTTACTTTCTGATACGCGGAGGCCGCCAGTGGTCGCAATCAAACAATTATAATAATAGGAGTAATATTTTGAGACTTATTTGTTGCAAAATTGCAATTTGTTAAAAAGTTATGACCATTTATCAACGATAAATTGCGAGTTGACTTTACGAGGCTGCAAAATTAAATCTTTTAATAATGTCGCATTTATAACGTTAATGCGAAATGAAATGTTTTTCAAAGTTTACGTTTTGAATGAAACGTTTAAAGTACGTAGCGAAATGAATGTTTTAGAAACATAGTAAATGCTAGCATTGAAGCAACGTTTATAAAGTCGCAAAGAAAACGTTTCATATGAAATGTTACTTGAACTTTACAAAATATTTCATTTGTGACGTTCCGAATTGACAAATTAAATGCGAAAAAGCAACGTTTCTGGTACGTTCTACGAACTGACACTAATAAAACGTTAATTTCAGACGTTTACGGAACCTTTTATTACCGTTACATGTAAACGTTTCAAATTTGCTTAATTACAGTCGAAATGTGACGTTACCAGAAAGTTACATGTTTAGCGGGATTAAATCTCCATAAGTCTATGATATGTTGATTTCCACGATGGAAGTCAGACAGACGTCCATTAGAAATCCATAAAACCTCCATAGATCTATGAGATGTTTACTTCCGCGATAGAAGTCAAACAGATGTTTGTTAGAGATCCATTCAACTTCCATAGCACTCAGACGTTGACATCCACGATGGAAGTCAGATAGACGTCCATTAGACATCCACTAAACTTCCGTAAACTCTCCGTAAACCTCTATGGAATGTTTACTTCCACGGTAGAAGTTAGATAGACGTCTATTAGAGATCCATTCAAACTTTATAGCAATGAAATATGTTTACTTCCACGGTGGAAGTTAGAGAGACGTCCATTAGAGATCCATTAAACTTCCGCAGCTCTGTGGAATGGTTGACTTTCATCGCCTGAAAATCAGACGTCTATTAGAGATCCATTCTGCATTTATAATAAATATCTTATACAAATATCTTATAGACATCTATTAGACATTTATTAGGGATGATAATTGATATAAATAATTAATACTTAAGTAGATAATTAATATTATGAATATTCTTATTCGGAACTTGACATCCAATGGACGTTCATACAACCTCCATAACTCCATACGACATCTATGTCCATAGTGGATATTGAATAGATTTCTAATGAAAGTCCATATTATCTCTCATGGTAGATATCTTCTACAAATCCATCATGAATATCTACTGGATATCTGTTATGGATATATGATAGATTTTTACATACATATATCTCTAATAGAAATCCATATTACCTCCATGGTAGATGTCATCTACAAATCCATCATGGATGTCTATTAGACATCTGTTATGGATATATGACAGGTTTTTACATACAACTATATCTCTAATAGAACTCCATATTACTTCCATGGTAGATAAAATATTCATATAGTTCCACGAGCTTCACGTTTCGCCGCTAGGTGGCGAAAAGGAAAACGCCTAACTCGTAAGTGGAATTCATTTAAGACGGTAATATAAGGCCGCAGCATACGACCACAAATCACGGCTTATCGGTCAAAGAGAGCAGACTATTATAGTCGCACCTCCTCTAGCTTTTGCAAGGAGCTCGAGGGCTCCATATAATTAACCGCAGATGGTTAATTTTTTTTTAATTCTATCATATATGTATCTATATACAGAACATTAAATCGATCAAGTTTTTGAGAAATGACAAAAATAAAAATTTAGTGGTTAATGGACATGATATTAAATTGACTAAAAAATTCACTTATAATCGCCATAACGTATATCTGATATCCATAATAACTTCACAAAATATCTATAAAACTTGATATAACACTTGATATACATAAGCCATCTATGAATACGTCTAATGGATGTCGAATGGAGGTATGAAATGCGGAACTGTGGATGTCTAGTAGACGTATATGGGACGTTTCATGAACATCTAATGAGGAAGTTTCGAATCTTAGACGTCTAGTGGACATCCATTAGAGGTTTTTGTTTCGTGTGGGAAAACGTCAATTAATCGTCCACCTAGGCTCTATGAATCCTTCTATTAATGATGGAACATCGATTAATCGTCCATCAAGGCCTCACGAATCCTCTATTAATGTTCCACAGACTGTCTAATGGATATCTTTAAAAATGTCTAATGGAGGTCCAATGGATGTACATAATGCGGAACTATGGATATTTTGTGGTCGTCCATTGGATGTCTAGACATCTAGTGGAAGTTTTAAATATCCATGATAAACGTCTAATGAACGTCCATTAGAGGTTTCTGTTCTATGTGGGTTTAAGAACTCTTTTTCAAGACGTCTTTTATAACTGCGAACAAGATCTCTTATAGACGTCAATATGAAAAAATTCTTTTTCTGTCATCAAAAAGACTTCTTAATTCAGACTACAATTTGTTATCTCATTTATGAGTTTTAGACTGACTCATGGCTTCCACTGAATTTACTTCTACATGCGCGTCATATACCTAGACAGCACGGGACGTCCTATAAACATTCATTTTATGTCCATTTTACGTCCGCACGTTCATAGACATGAAATGAACGTCCATCGTACATCTGATTTGAGACATCCGTTAACGGCCAATATGGCGTTAATATAATTTGAGATATCCGTTTACGTCTACACGATGTCCGATCTTGGAGGTTAGGTTAGGTCAAAGTTTCGCGCGAACACGCAAGGATGTGTTAATTCGTTCGTATACCGCTACGCGACGTGCGATGCGCTATCTTTCTCGTATTTAAGTTTCAGTTATGAGAATTATATAAAGTTTGCAAAAGGTAACAAATAAGATTAAAAATGTATTGTTCAATTTAATTTCTGATCTAAAAGCACGGGTTTCGGATATTAAATTGATTTTATAAGGACAAGTAAATGTCCGGTGAATAAACGAAAATAATTTTTCATTATCTATTTAAGATGTAATATGCAAGTATAAATTATGAATAAAATTTTTATATAAAATTTTTATGTAAAATTTTATATGAAATAGATAAATTATATTATTATTTAATGATTGAAATATATTTGTTTCGTTTAAAAAATATGATATGTTTAGATCATAAAGATTGTTCTTTTTCACACATATAATACACATTTTTTTTAATTATTTGTTTTATAATCGTTTTATGCAATAAAAGTAACATTTAAATAATATGTGATATTGCATTAATGTATTATATGTGATATAAATTTTCTTTAATAAATGTATTACTTAAAAAAATATATATTTCATCTTTTTAATATGTAAATTCAAATTTTGTATGTAATCCCTTTTTCATCTCCTTATTAGGTCCATATAAAGTCTGTTTTGTATATCTATTATTGCTAATTTATGTACATTAGACGTTCATCGGATATCTTTTGGATACGTCAGGGATTAAATTATGTCCACCAATTTCATATTTGGATATGCTATGGATATCCACTGTATATTTGAGGAACATAAAACGGACATTTTATGGATATTTTCAATATTCTTGAAGGATATTTGTAGAATATTTTATGGATATCTGTGTGCTGTCTGGGTTATTATCTCTATTTTCGAATAAAATATTTTGTAATTCTTCATTATTATCATCTGAAGAAGAACTACTCGAAGATTCAAAAACGATGTTTTCGAGTAAAATATATTGTTCCATAATAATAATTAGTGTAATTGCAACATTTTCGTATATTGTATATACATACGATACAATACAATCCTAATGATCCCAGTAGGAGAAACGAAACGCAGCACTGGGAGTTTTCAATACTGCCAACTTTGGGTGCTTTCCATTTAGCGACACAAGTCGACACAAGTGTCATTCTATCTTTGGGTGCTTTCCATTTAGCAACACAAGTCGACACAAGTGTCGTTCTATCTTTGTTTATTGTTATTCATTGAAAAAAGATAGAATGACGCTTGTGTCGACTTATGTCGCTAAATGGAAAGCACCATTTGTTTATTGTTATTCATTGAAAAAAGATAGAATGACGCTTGTGTCGACTTGTGTCGCTAAATGGAAAGCACCCTTTATCTTTTTTTCCAACACCGATCAAACATATTTTCGAACACACTATAATTGTCGTAAACACCCACTGATTAGGGGTGCTTTCCAGCAAGCAACACAGGCGACACTGTGTCGCTACAGTGTCGACACAGGTGCTTTCCAACTACGACACAAGTCGACACAATCGTACACAGCAAAAATGCTGTGTTCGCCTGTGTCGTCGTTTTGTAGCACCCCAGTGAGTGCCAACATAACATTTCATATTTGGTATCATTAATTTTTTTAAGAATGGTATTGCGTGATATTGCGTCCGAAAGACATCAAAAGACGACTTAAAGACATCTAGACGTCTTTAAGACGACATAATGTTGGGTGCTTTCCAATTGTTTAACACATCTTAACACAAACATACACAGGAAGGCACAAAGTGTAGCGATGTGCACGACTCAATTGGAACAAAGTTAATGTGCGACTTTCGAGTGGAGGGTTAGGATTCTTCATAACCATGTCCATCTTGATATTTTTTAATCCATGCTGAGGGTGATAGCATCGATATATAAAATGGATTGACCATTGCGTGTAGACAGGCATCAAATTCGATGAAAGTTTCTTGATCATCACTCAAACAATAAATAACGCCCTCATTCGAATAAATAGTTTTTTCCTTAAAGCAAATATGTTCATACAATTCTTCTCCATTTGGTAAAAGGGAAAAACATGTTGCACACGTAAAATTTGTGTAATTAGTCTGTAAATAATTCGAAGCAAAGTTATTAACATACATAGATGTATATATGCATAATATTATATAATATATAAATAATATATAAATAAAATATATAAATGCATATTATATTAATATATAAATATGAATGAAAATTTAATCAGTAATATATCTAACCTGCAAATATGCAAAAGAGACAATTTTATTTTATTTATTAAATATAATAAAAAATTAATTGTACAAAAACTCATTAATTTGAATTACTTACTTCAATGATACTTTTAATATTTTTATTGTCCATTTTTGTATTTGTATGGTGTACTTTAATGGTTGTCTTTTAATTAAAAAGGATAAAACGAAAAGAAAATTGCCAACATAATCGCCGTCAGTCTGTAACCGCATATTTCATTTGTCCCTAGAAAACAGAAGGTTACACAAGTTGACTAGTAGCCCTCGAGCTGAGTACGGATGTGTAAAGTTGTGTCGGCAGTTACGGCAATTGGAACGCGACTTGTGTCGCCGTGTGCATAAAAGTGTCTAGGGATATCTCAATTGGAAAGCACCCGTTGTGTAGGAACGTTCTGAAAATTTAGACCTAGTGACAACTATTAAAAGTGACTGCCCTGCACTCTAGTGGCAAAATAAAAAAGCTAAAAAGCGTTCCAGCTACAAGTCGACACTGTGTAACACTGTGTCACACAGTGTATCACTGTGTTACCATAGCTGGAAAGCACCCTAGTTCTCTAGTGCGATCTAATGCAGCCGGTTCAGCTATAAAGAACAGACCTATTGTAACGGAGTGTACGTTAGTGTACATTATTTGAAATTTCATTTAGAAAATTTAAAAGAAAATCGTTTTTTAACAAATCATTAGATAGAATCATTGATTACTATTTTAATGCGATTTTTGCAGTATTTTGGTTATAGAAAAAATTAAAGTCCGTAATTTTTACGACCGACAGATAGAAACCTAATAGTTTTTTCCCGTAATGGTGTGAGTTCTCGGGTTTCTTTCTATCGAAATCAATAAAATAGAAAATAAGAAGTGACACTGCGGTAATTTGAAAAGAATGGCAATTTAATAAAGAAGAGACTCGAATAATTTCTTGCGTGGAAACTAAGCGACGAAAGAGCTTAAACTCCAATGGTAGAAATGTATGCGAATGCTTCGTGAACGCCGTGGACAGGCGATGGATGAACGGACGTTCAGCGAAGAACGTGAGACAATCCTGCCAAGAAATGCCGATAATCCGTCACACCGGATTTCGTCAACATCCACGTCTCAGTCAACAAACAACGACGTGGCCAAAGAGAGACTGGCGATAGAGGAACGACTGGCCGCTAAAATGTTTTCCTACGAGATCATTTGCTTCTTCCTGGCGATCACTTTTACCGCTATGGCTGCTCTACACAGCTCGTGGGTTTTGCATTATAATAGATTTTTATTTTGTACCTCCTGTTTAAATATATATACCCAGATAGCCAAATGCAACGAGGTTGCTATCATGTTGCCAATAATTGTTGAAGCAACTAATTTTAACAAACTAGAGACAATGTGAGACAGTATTATGTCTGTTACGTTGAACTCACATGAATTCAGGTGCTAATAACAACAAATTAATTGCAACGTGTCAGCATATTGCTGACATATTGTAGACAACGTAATATCAATATTGCAGACCATTTGCTTCCTTAATTGATTGCATGTAGAAGCAGACATATAGCTGCATTCGTAACACATTCTATCTCGATGTCAGCAAGTATACTGCAAATATATAATAATACATGCGATACATTTGTTTGCTGAATATGTCATATCAAGCTTGACTGGGTATATACACACATACACACACATACACACACACACACACACATATTATAAAATTGTTGCGCACTCTCGTGTCGTATCAATACACTGTGAAACATGGAGAATTGTATATTAAGTCTCATTATATATTTATATATTTAATTTGTGTTCTATTTATGAAATCATGATACAATGCAAGGAGAATCTTTCAGCGAAAAACATATACAGGGTGGCCCCAAACGTTCCAGACTTTGAGATCTTATAGGAAATTTAATTCTGAACAACAAATTTCCTATAAACATGGGTCGAAAAATGCTTCCTTAAGAAGTTATCACTCAAAAACCTCTGATGAAGGAAGAGCAGAAGGTAAAAAGAAAATGAAATGAAAGGAAAATGAAACTAAATAAATTTCTTGAAAAAAACGATAAAAATAAAAAATAAAAATCTTTTTCTTTTATGAAAATAAAATAATTTTTTTTTTCCTTTAACTAATATTTTAGTAATAGCACGTAATAGTAGAAAATGAATAAAGACGTTTTTCAAGAAATTTATTTAGTTTCATTTTCTTTTTATTTCATTTTCTTTTCATCTTTTGCTCTTTCTTCATTAGAGGTTTTTGAGCGATAACTTCTTAAGGAAGTATTTTTTGACTCATGTTTATAGAAAATTTTTTGTTCAGAATTAAATTTCCTATAAGATCTCAAAGTCTGGCTGGAACGTTCGGGGTCACCCTGTAAATACAATTAAGTCTAAAAAAATTGATGGTTAAAAATTCTTTATTTGATAGCCAATTATATCTAATATGTTTTTTTTGCTTGAACACGACTGCAATAAATTATGGTTGTATTTATAATCAGCTTAATCATCTATATATATTTACTGTCATGAATTTGTTTCGTAGATCTCCCAAAGTTTCCAAACCTCCTACAGCAAGACCTTTTTTTGATCAAAATTCTGTAGTATTGGATTTCTATAAGGGTCATTTAGATTCGATGATAGAAAGGATAACGCAGGCAGATTTTAGTTTTGTTATGTATTATGCTCCTTGGGATGCAGAAAGCCAGGCTCTACGTAAGGAGTTTGAAATTGTTGCTCAGTTTTATCATCCACAGGTATAAGAATAATAATAGTATCTTATGCAGTTTCTTATATGTTTTTTTATATATTCATTAACATTTACATCATCTGTTCTTAGATATTCTTTGCAGCCATTAATTGTTGGCATCCTGATTCAGAATGCAGAATACAATATAATAAAATTCATGGTTATCCAGTGCTAATGCTATATCCATCCAGAGAATCTGGTATTAATTATAGAGGAATTCGCACAGCACCATACATGATTAATTTCCTAGATGCGCTTATGAATCCTATCATCAGAATAACACATAAAGAACAATTAACTGAATTGTTGATTACTAATGATGTAAGTATAAATTAATAAAATTTATAAAAATAAATTTATTTTCAGTTAATGTAAAATAGTTTATTATAATAGGAAATCTTTCTGTAAAATAATTTATTACAATAGGATGTCTTCCTTTACTTAAGAAGAAGTAGATATTGAAACAAAAATAAAGCATTATTGAAAATTTTATTTGAGTTTATATAAATTATTTGAGTTATATAAATTTTAGTAAAAATTTAATGTTTTTAGTAAAAATTTAATACTTCTTGAGTTTTTGTTTCTACAAATCTGCTACTTTAAATGCGATTTTTGCTACTTTCTTATGATATCAAAATGTAATTAATGTTTGATAATGATTCAGTATATCAGAAACTATAAGAAAACGTATAAGAAAGGTTCTATTCATCATTGCCAAAATCAAGTTATTTTACTCATCATCCTTTGAAAAAAATTAGGTCTTTTTTTTTTATGAAGATGTATTTTACAAAATGAAACATTTAGTTTTTTTTTATTTCTATTGACAATATATTATTTTGTTTATTTTTTTTATTTATTAAAAACTTGCAGGCAGTAGTCATAGGATACTTTAATTTTACAAGATTGGATAAAACTCCCGGTTATCGGGAGTTTTATAAGGCCGCAATACGATCACTGGAGAGAGATCCTAATAGAGAACTGGCATTTGCTATAGTAACTAGTGCATCATCTAGTAAATTACATTATGGAGTTTACAAGTTTCCATCAGCAAATTTACTCATGTGGAACGAATCTTTAGTAAGTGCATGATATTTATATATGTGAATTTTTTTATTTGCTATTCATGATATATATCAGTCTTAACAACAACAAAAATTAGACTTATCCAGAAAAGAATGAATGGACATCTGACAATATCCTCAATTGGATTAGCAGTTCTATTCACCAACCATCCCTCTGGTTACAACCCCCTGGTGTCAAAGCGTTCACTCTTGCACCTTATCTACATGAGGGACCAGTCTTATTTCTTTTCACACCACGGAATCCACTTCATACAGAAAATTACATTTATAATCTGGTGCGTTTTAAAATTACATCTATAATTTATAAATATTTACTCAAATAATTACATTTGTATGTAATCTATAATAATTTTTTAATTTTTTTTCAATTATTTAATCTTGGAAAGAAAAATCTTGGCATATCACTCCTTCCTTTTATATGTTGTACATATTGACATATATTTTAGAAGATGCATTCCTAAATACGCTTTAAATTACATATGTGTGCTACTCTCTTTTCATTTCTGAGATATATGATTTTAAAATATTATAAAAATAAAATTTTTAAAGAAACAAGTTTTTGTAAGGATTGATATGTATAAATATTAAAGAGATCCACTTATATAGATGGTGTCCCTTTTTAACTGTTGGAACAAAATATCTTGATATCACGGGATTAAAAAAAAATGTTTCAAACAGTAATTATATAGTTTCAAGACGTACATAAGATGGTGGCAATAATTTGATATTCTTGGATAGTCTTAATGATCACGTGAAGATGTAATTTTTTAAATGAAACCCTCTACTTTTTATTATTTATTATTTATTATTTATCTATTTAATCTTATAGTTTATTTCGAAAGTTTTCCAAAACTCTATAATCATTTTTTTACATAATTTTCAAATTATAGGGCACAAAAATTATAGTACCATAAGCATTAGTATTACTCAAGGTGTACTGTGTGGAAGTTATATGGTCAGATTTACACTTCTGTTGCATGTGTGTGTGTGTCAACAGAAATAAGATATAGCAGACTCTACTATGTATGTGACTGAAACAAAAATGTGAGTTCTGCGCTATAAATTTTCAATTTAAAAAATGTTCAACATTGACACTGTTAACTTCGTCATGGATTTCGAAAAACAATATTTTTTAATATAGCCTCACAAAAAAAATCTAAGCAGGTAAAATACAGATATCTTGAAAGCCATGCGATACATCTACCATCGATCAAATTTATCGATGTAACATATGATACGTATCTGTAAACACCATGCAATTTCCATATTTATACTTTGGATAATGTTAATTCTGATGGTATTGTAACTTTCAAGCCATATAATTTAAAAATTACATAAAAAAATAATTAGTTATAGTTATGTTTTGAAAAACTCTCGACGTAAGCTACAAGAATATGCAATGCAAAATAGAGTTCCATTTAAAAAATTAATTTTCACGTGATCTTCATTTTTTCTAAAGATTCGTGATATTGACTCGACATTTAAAATGGAACATTCTGAATATTATATCCCTTTATTAAGTTAAATAATTATATCAAATAAATTATATTAAAATAATTTTTGTTTTTCAGATAAGAGAACTCGGTTTACAGTATTATAACTGTGCAGACAATATGATAGTAAAGGATATAATCAATCGTCTGGAAAAGAAACGAAGTACAGCGATGATCCGTCACTTCTCTAGAAGCCAAGAATGCGCCCATCTTCTGAACAAGACTGAAATCTATACTAAACAAATAAACGAATTAATTACTACCATATCAATTCAACAATGGATTAACAACAGTTGTTGTGCAAATGTGGCAATAAATAAATGTTCCTTATGCAAAACACAGATAACAAATCCATTAGAAAAAAAAATCTATAAAGTTAAAACATTCGGTGATGTTTGCAAAGATACTGATGTATTTACATCACCTATGATTAAGCAGTATAAAGGGCAGATGTATAATTATAACAAAGATTACATGGTAATGAAATTACAGGAAGAATTAAATTTAAAAAGGTAACATTAATTTTATATATATGAAAACATTTTATAAACATTTATATATGTTATGTATTTCAAAATAATTTACTTAATAAGTTCTATATATAAGAGATATTTATAAATTTATAACAAATATTTTTTACATGTAATGTAAAATATTACATTCTTTTTATATGTAATATTTATTCAAACAAACTAAATATTGTAGTAAATATTGTAGTGAATTCGAAGATAAGTTATTCGAGTTATAAAATATAAAAGTAATGTTGTTGTTTTAAGGCTACATACAAATATGAAGTATAAAACATCATTACTAAAAGAAGAAAACGATTCACGATCTGCTAATACTATAAGAAGAAATTTTCTGAAGGAAAGTTGTAAAAGATGGTTGGCTGGAAATGATTATTATCCATCATTATTTCCGCAAGATTCTCCAAGAAAATTTAATATCAGCTTAAAAGAATTGGTTTGCAAAACCAATAAGACATTAGCTTTAATAGCTATTGATAGTCTGCATTATTCCCATTTTGCAGAACATCTTGGGATTGATATCTCAAAGCGAAGAAATAAAACTACTGTTGTAATCTTGGATGCTGCAGTAAGCTTTAAGATTAGATAAAAAACCATTTTAATAATTTTGTATTGTATTTTAATAATATATTTTGGATATGTAAAATTATTCCATTAAATTTCTAAAATCTTTTCATTTTTTATGGATTGCATGTGTTATTTTTTTTGTAATTTTTTTATTTTTTTATGTTACAGCTAGAAAGTCAATATGTTATGCATCAATATTTCAATGAATATACTCTTGTCAACTTTATAAACAATTATACGCAAGGTTTGTTAGAGCGAACATTACGTTCTACAACGCAACAAAGTGCAAAAATTCAACCAATCCATCAAATCAATCCACAACACAACAAAATGCAAAAATTGCATAATGAGAAAAATCATAATAATGCAGATTTGAATTCAAAAATTCATATACCAGAATTAACAACAAAAACATTTTTGAATACAATTTTGGATCCATCTAAGGTCAGTTATGCCTATTTATTATGTCTTATAATTAGCAATAAGAACAATATATAATAAATTACATTTAATTTTTAACACAAACAAAACTTTCTCTCGGATACAAAATTAATCATTTTGTATAGGTTTTTTATAATTGATAATAAAAATTTCCAAATTGCTTCACATCACACATTTAGAGAAATTTATTGTTAAATTTGCAAGAAATGATTATAGTTAAATTATAATCACCCTCTTCTTATTTGTACTAATTCTAAGATATTTGATATATTTAATGTTTTGTAAGATTTATGCAAAACACAAGAAAATATATTAAAATTGGATTTGCTATTATTACATTTTGTAATAAATTGATGCATAATCAAATTTTTTTTATAGGACGTTGTTGTAATGTACTACTCTCCTTATTGTGGATTTTGTAGTGCTATATCATATGTATACTTAACAGTGGCATATTACTTATCCAATATGGATCATCTAATCTTTGTAAAGATTGATGGAGATAATAACGATTTACCATGGGAATACAGCATGAATCGCTTTCCATCCATTTTATTTTTTCCTACAAAGAGGTGCGTTAATTATGCATCAATTCTTAATATACTTCTTTGAATGTCGCATTTATCAACATATTTTAAAATGTGAATCTTATCACTTTGTCTTTTATTTATTCTATATTTCTTTTTTTTTACTTAATCATCAAAAGTGATTTTTATTTATACAAAACACTTAACATTATTGAAAAATGAATTTCAGTATCTAATAATATCTATTTTTGGCTAAAATTTTAGGAAGGAAGACAGCACTGTATTTCCATTTTCTGTTCCTATCACTGTTCCAAACTTATTGAACTTTGTGCTAGCGAATTTAGATGGTGATTCCCACATCGAAGCTTTGATCAACATCTGTCAAGCGGGAACTGGGGAGGCGCCAGATAAATGTATTACTAGAACACGATGGCTGTGTCTAGATATTATCGAGCAACTTCTGCAGGATTACAGAAAGTTGAGACGACATTTGAATTTTTTAGATAAAAAAGTTGCACTCAATAAATGTAAAATAATTCTTTTTAAATTAGAACATATCAAGCATATTCATTTAATTTTGGGTTCTATAGTTGATCTTGATCGAAAAGAGGATCGAAAAAAGGCGCAATTGATTAAAAAAAAATTTCATAAATATTATCAAGTTATTAGATTACTAGAAGCTAATAACAAGATGGAAAGTAGGCATTTTAAATCTACGAATGTTGTACCAATTGCTGAACGAGAGAAGCTGATGAAAAGCGAATTGTGATATAGATTTCGCCTTACAAAATAAGATAACTAGGCGATGATAAATATATGTTAATTAATATATCTATGTGATAACAAATATTAATATTTTGGAATACTCTCGATATTTCGGTAATTAAATTGATATTAAATTATAAAAAAGATAGATTTTAAAAAATTTGTCTATCACTTCTTATAAATAAAAAAGAAAAAAGCATGTATAAAACCCTAATAAAAATATAAGATTGAGGATACGAACATGTCAGCAAACATTAATAAAGAAAATGAGAGCGACTAAGATTCTAACATATATTCCATTAAATATAAAATGTGCAGGAATTTAAAAAATGCAAAATTGATCATACAAACATTTTCAGATATAAAATTTTTACATATAGTAGTGCTCATAAATACCTTTACAAATTATTTTTGTAATATAATTTATAGTATAATTATGAATTTATAAAAAATTAAATAATTATCAATAATTTTAAATAAATTTATTTCAATAATTTATAACAAAAAATGGTAATTATATATAATTTTTTATAAGTGTATGACAAAAATTAAAATCAAAGGTATTTTGACATATTTGTCTTAAAAAAAGTAATTTTCCAGAAAAAATAAATCTTGTAATATGTAAAATATTTTTAATATTTTATTGCATAATTTTTGCTTGAATTTCAGTTATTCCTTTGATTTTGAATTAATTTAATAATATGAATCAAAACAGTTTTTGACCACTCTGCTCAGAATTGTAAAATATTCGTATCCGTAAAGATCTTATTTGAAAATGTTCCGACTTATTTCCCAAGCTTTTTTCACGTATGTTCAATAGGATTCACACATCATCTACAATGGCAATAGAATCAGTGTTTGTTGTAGATGATTTCAAAATTATCTAGATAAAGATAAAAATCTGTAAATTTATCTTAGATGAGATAAAGATGATTTTGCTTTTACTTAATCTAGATGAAAGATGAGATGATTATTGCGATAATCTAGGTAATTATCTAGATATTTTTGTTTATTTTATAAGGTTACGTCCTCTGATTGACGTTACATGTCGGCTGCGTTCCAAAATTCACTGCCAATACTGAAAATCTATAGTTTACGTGACGTACACTATAGATTTTCAGTACTGGCAATGAATTTTAGAACACAGCCGTGTTTGTGCTTCGAGTTTAATCATACTGTAACAAAACGAGTTTGCTATACGAAGGATTTAATTGCATTAATATTATAATAATATTATATAATACATGAAAAAACAAGATCTTACTCACATTTAACAAGAGCAACAATTAGCATGACATCAATAAACGTCATCAATAACGTCATTAATGACGTCATGTGGTACAAGATGGCGGAAAAAACACGTGATTTTACAATGACTAATCAAAAATTGTTCGCCATTGGCGCATTTCTGGCCGGTATTCATAGTCCGATCTTATATTTGAGATCGTCCTAAGCATAGACCTTATAAGTATGGACTGGCAATACGTATCAGACTGTGTCCGGAGGAGGTTAGAGAGAGAAACATACTTTTTGGTACTTCTCTTTCTACAAGTGCAATGCATACTTTCGGACACTTGTAGAAAGAGAAGTACTAAAAAGTATGTTTCTCTCTCTAACACTCCTCCGGACACTGCTTCTCTACAGAAACTATAGGCAATTGCCAGTCCATATCTGTAAGGTCTATGGTCCTAAGTTCGAGCTTGAAATGCTACGCAGCTATTTAATTGATTGAATGAGGTCTTAAGTCAACTCCAAGCAGACTTAAGACGATCTTAAATATAAGATCGGACTATGAATACCGGTCATGGCCCGCTTTTAGGTGATCCCCATTGAAATATATACCATACTGGAATGAGCACGCCTTTGTTCTCGACCGGTCAGATGTAGAGAACCTCTAGGAGAGAGAATGGACAACTGATCATGTGACATGTGATCAAGCTTTTTCATGATTGGCTGGCAGAAAATGTATCAATTTTAGCTATTGCGACGCCAATGCAAAATATGATGACACACAAATAGGTTAATATATGTGTGTCATGTGTGTCCTATTTGTGTGTCATCATATTTTGCATTGGCGTCGCAATAGCTAAAATTGATACATTTTCTGCCAGCCAATCATGAAAAAGCTTGATCAGTTGTCCATTCTCTCTCCTAGAGGTTCTCAGATGGAGATAGCTGTTCAGACCCGGATCTCTCTATCTAACCAACAGTCTCGGTCACGTGTTCACAGCTACTATTAGTTCTACAAACATTCGCCTTCATAAAAAGAAAATTTTATGCTTTAAAATGAAATTGTTGGATAATTATAAAATTTATATGTTAAAATTTATTTTTACATTATAAAATTATTTAATAAAAACAATGTATATTGTTTAATAAAAATTGTTAATATATAACATGTATGTATAAATTGTCCTATATGTATATATGTGTGCGCAAGGCGAATGTTTTCAGCTAAGAGAGTAGACGAGATAGAAAGAGAAATCCGGTACCGAGTCACTGCCTTCTCTGACCGTTTTGATGAGGTAGCCTGTGCGCCTTCTAGTATGGTATATATTTCAATGGTGATCCCTGAAAGCGATACGCCCTCTGTTAATCTAAAAAACGTGGACATGAACTACAAAGCCAATGTCCACGAAAGTTCTCAGAGGGTAACATATAACGTGCACAATTTCTGGTTCTGTTCCGTGCTATGTGCACGGCGGTAGCAGCAGTGCTGTATAGCAAGGTGCTTACGTATATCAAATAAATTTTAATATAAATGAGAAATGATGAATTTGAATGTATATATATATATATATATATATATATATATATATAGAGAGAGAGAGAGAGAGAGAGAGAGAGAGAAATAATAAAATTTATTTATCAAAAATATATTTAATATACATAAACACCTTACAGAATTCGTGTTACGGATATTTCGTGCACATAGCACGGAATATATATATATAATATATATATATATATATATATATACAGGGTGTTAAAAAAGTATCGCATACGTTTAGTGCCATCCGATAGAGAAGGAGAATTTAAGAAAAAATGTCTAATAGTATTTTTCGATCCCATGAATAATTTCGCCGCAATTAATTATTGTAATCAATTAATCAGCGCGGAGCTACAAGAGGAAGCCAGGGGCGAAGCGCGCGAAGTCTGTGGCGCGACGACTAGCGCGGTAGCCGTCGTTCCGCAAACTTCGCGCGCTTCGCTCCTGGCTTCCTTTTGTAGCTCCGCGCTGATTAATTGATTACAATAATTAATTGTGGCGAAATTATTCATGGGATCGAAAAATAGTATTAGACATTTTTTCTTAAATTCTCATTCTCTATCGGATGGCACTGAGTGTATGCGATACTTTTTTAGCACCCTGTATATAGAGTGTACGCGGGAGTTATGTGAGCAAGCGAGAAGATAATAAGAGAGAGCGAAATGGCAGTAAGAGCGAGCGAGATAGGAATAGAACGAGCAATGAAGACTCGAAAATCGAGTCTTTCTTGCTTCTTCTTCTTCTTCTTTGGATTTGAATGGCCACCTCTGATCTAGGAGCGATCAGTGTATTCAGGTCAACAACGGGTTTGAGCGAGTAGATAATTTAGTGATATGAAAGGTGATGTGTTAAGAAGTTGTTACATTCAGAGTTGGAGATTGCAGGATTTTAGGAAAGAGAGTAATACGTGGATAACCCCGGAGAAGGGCTTGGCTAGAATTTCTTGAATCTGATAAGGTCGTGTTATCTCCTTGAATCTTGATAGATGTTTTAAAAGCGTTATCCTCTGTGCGTCGAATAAGGGACAATCCCAGAAAATGTGATCTGCATCTTGAGTGAGGGAACCGCATTGGCAGGAGGAATCTGCAACCAGATTACAGCGTTTGAGACTGTGATTAAGGGCGTAGTGGCCACTCCTGATTCTGCAACAAGTTACAATGCTTTCTCTGTTAGACTTAAGCTTGTGAAACCAGGGTTTTGGCATGATCTCGCTGAAAGAGGTAAAGTACCTTATCCCTTTGTGTCTACCTTGTGTTTTGAGTAGTCGAGAGGAACTTTCGATATATTTTCTTCGAGAAATCGAGAAGAAATCAGAGTGAGGGAGTTGTCTCTCGGTTAGTTTTCCTGCAGAGATGGCTGTTTTTGCCAAATGATCAACGGTTTCATTCCCCAGAATGCCCGTGTATGCCGGAATCCAAACGATGATGTTTTCGAGGCCAGCCTGTTTGATGTCGTAGAGCTTTTGCTTGATGGCGAAGATGATGGCGAAGATGATGTAGTTATACGAATGAGCCAGGTTGACAGAGAGAAGCGCTTCGGTGACGCTTTTAGAATCAGTAAAGATAACAGATTTGCTGACTGGTTTGGAGAGTATATATTCGAGGGTATAAAGAATGGCAAGGGCTTCTGCGAGAGGACGGATGAATAAGGCTGAGTTTTAAATAATAGCTGTAAGTGAGGAGAAGGGGAGTATATGGCAAATCCAACATAATCGCCGGGATTATTTTTGGAAGCGTCGGTGTAGAAACATGTACAGGAAGCAATCAGTGACTCATAAATTTCCATGAAAATAATATGAGGAGCGTTCTTAATTCTTTCTGCTTCGATAGCAGACGTGATAACAATTGAAGGGAGGAAAATAAGAGCTTTGTAGTCTATGGAGTAAACAGCCGGGTAGTCGAATTTCGAAATATAGAATTTTAAGCGAAGGAGAGAGCTGAAGGCTCTGAACAGAAGAAATTTTTCGGAGGGGTTAATCTTTCGAGATCTGCGTGAGTACCAGAGAAGTGCGAATAATTTATCTATGAGCGGACGGGAGTCCAAGGCAAAATTTTTTAGAATATATTTAGAGGTGAGAAGTTCAAACCTAAATCTCAGGGGGCCCTCCCCGACTTCCGCGAGAACAACGTTCGTGGAAGTGATTTTGCGTAGACCTAAGCAGGTGCGGAGAGCTCGTAGTTGAATGTTTTCGAGGTAACGCATAGAAGAGTGATTATTAAAAGGTAAGACAGCCATACTCCATAGCCTCTTATTAAAGCTTTGTAGATATTCAGGAGAGAAGAAGGCGCTCCTCCCCATCAGGTGCCCCTCAACATATTAAGAATATTAAGAAGCTTTGAGCAGCGAGTGGACAGA